AATCACTGCTTTTGCAGAGGTGCCCAGAATACAACAGTTTAGAAGTATATACATATAAAAATACACAATATATCCCTCCAAACTGCCAATATCCCAAACCCCTCCTTAGAGTGTAGGCATTGTACTTCCCATTTCCAGGACTCAAGTCCGGCTATATAAAATAATCGGTTTCCCTGAATCCCTTCACTAAATATTACCCTGCTCACACGCCAATAGCTTGTCAGGTCCCAAATACCATTCGTCTCCATTCACTCCTATCTAACAAGCTCAAGCACGCTTGCTGGAAGTCCAAACCCCTCGCCCACAACACCTCCTTTATCCCCTCCCTCCAACCTTTTCGAGGACGACCCCCTACCCCGTGTAGGAGGTAGGGTAGGGTAGGAAAACCCGCCTGGCCACCCCCACCCACTATGTAAACAAACGGACAAAGTATCTGGTTATGGTTCATAAACATTCATACAAACACCTTACATTGTGTACAAGTTGTCTCGATGGGAGACTACCGACTTCTTGGGGGAAAAAAAAAAATCATTCTCATGTAATTTTTAGAAGGATTGATGCTCTTGACAAATTACGTATTATTATTATTAATGTTATTATTATTACAAATTATTATAATCATAATAAAGAAGTGCTAAACCCACAAGGGTCGTGAATTGCTACATATATAGAGTGTAGGTATACGAAAGGAATATTTTTCTATAGTTATCCCCCAGTGTTTGACTAGAGAAAAAGTAATTCTCTCGACACTACCTACAAAGCCACTTTGTAAACAAATCTCATATTTATGTCAATTTTTATTCTGTGGGTGTATGTATAATGTTTATATGCTATGTAATGTGTTTCTTATATAATTTTGAAGAAACTATCATAGATGGATTAATGAAAATGTGTATATTAATGTAAAATAAGACATTTAATGTGCCCAAGAGTGATTATTATTACATAGTATTACTATGGCATTATGAGTAGACTCTTAGTGATTTTAATGTGTACCTGCACACCAGCACAGTGTGTATGTATACTATTTAGGTACAGGTACACATAAGTATAATTATCAGAGTACATATAAAATATTCTAGGTAGTAGGTTGGTAGACAGCAACCGCCCAGGGAGGTATACTACCGTCCTGCCAAGTGAGTGTAAAACAAAAGCCTGTATTTGTTTTACATGATGGTAGGATTGCTAGTGTCCTTTTTTTCTGTCTCATAAACATGCAAGATTTCAGGTACGTCTTGCTACTTCTACTTACACTTAGGTCACACTACACATACATGTACAAGTATATATATACACACCCCTCTGGGTTGTCTTCTATTTTCTTTCTAGTTCTTGTTCTTGTTTATTTCCTCTTATCTCCATGGTGAAGTGGAACAGAATTCTTCCTCCGTAAGCCATGCGTGTTGTAAGAGGCAACTAAAATGCCGGGAGAAAGGGACTAGTAACCCCTTCTCCCGTATAAATTACAAAATTTAAAAAGAGAAACTTTCATTTTTTGGGGGGGGGGGGCCACCTTGCCTCGGTGGGATACGGCTGGTTTGTTGAAAAAAAAAAAAAACATAAAATATGCAATAACTATAAAACACTTGAAATTTTGGAAAGTTTCCAGACATAATAGATGTGCTCACAGAGAATGTAAACAAAACGGGTGGGGCGCACCGTATTTGAAAGACCGCTCGCCATATAGAAAATTTTGGTCATAATTTGAAATCGGAGTATTAGCGGAACGCCGTAAAGCAGGGTCCTACTGTATAAGAAAATACTTGTAATAATGTTGGTAGAATTACCGGCAATATGTAAAGTAAAAGGACACAAGTGCAACTAATGTGACATTTTTATTGTGGCAACGTTTCGCTCTCCAGGAGCTTTATCAAGCCGTTACAAACAGTACATGGACACAGAGGGTATATATAAGCTCAGAGCGAGGTGCAATACTAGCGGTGGCGGCGGCAGCGGCAGTGGCAGCGGCAGCGGCAGCGGCAGCAGCGGCAGCGGCAGCAGCAGCAGCAGCAACATTAGTAGTAGTACAATATGGTAGAATAATTAACTCGCACATGAGTAAAAGGATATAAAAGTTATTACTTGGGTAACATAAAAATAGGTTAGACAAATATTTCTATAGGAGGCTGGATAGAGAAGGCCTGTTTCAATGTTCATTCTCTGTAAAGTGCTTGTGTAGTAGGAGAGACTATGTGATGGCAGGGTTTGCTGTTTTCGGGAGGATTCTTGCTAAGACTTCAGAGATGGTGAAGCTGCCTTTGTTTTGTTTAATCGTATTAGAAACAGCGATCAGTGATGATTCAAGGCACTTGCGTCTACAGAAATTAGTTTTTTTGATCACTAATTGGACATCCCTGAATTTCACGAGATGATTGCTGGAATTTCGGTGTTGTAAACAGGCATTGTTCAAGTTATCATTCCTACATGCATAAATGTGTTCATTGAGGCAGGTGTCGAGGTTTCTTGCTGTTTCACCTACATAAATCTTGTCGCAGCCTCCACAGGGTATAGTGTAAACCCCAGCGTTGACTGGTTCATGGTGTTTTGATTTTGTTTTGGTTAGATCCTTTATTGAAGTGCTTTTATATCTTTTTACTCATGTGCAAGTTAATTGTTCTACCATATCATATTACTACTACTACTACAAGAAAATACTTGCAGAACTGTCTTCCCATTAACCCACCCAACATGGGGTATCTGCCCCAATTTCCTTGGGATCCTCATGGCTGCACCTCAGCCAACTTACACTATCTCCACTACCCAACTTACTTCTTTAAACACTAATTTGCTCTTTATTATTAATCACCTAAATGTTCAATAACTGTAAAAAATACAGTTAGAATAGATACAGCACTGTTAAAAGCATGAGAGTATGCCATGAGAGTAATTATGATGCACAATACTAAATTTGTTTATTCTTCATATTAATGCAGTGAATACTCTTTAAACCTTTTATATCAGTGCTCTACATAAATTAAGCATTCTCAAGTTCTTCTACATATACATGTATTTGAGAAAACATTAGTTAGGAAAAATGCTGTCTAGTGGTCATGGACATTATTTGCTCCCACTTACCAAGAACAATGGAAGGCTAGGGACTAGGGAGAATCACTAGTGACTCAATAAGCAGACTAAGTAGATGAACCGACAAATTGATAAATTAGACACATGTACAACACTTGGGTATCTTTAATGAGGAAACATTTTGCCACACAGTGACTTCATCAGTCCATCCAAAGGAGAAATGTGTAAACACCTACGACTGCTGCACCTCATCATCTGCCTACAGTATATAAGCCACTTCTTCGCACATATGCTGTATTCTTTTCAAGACTGATGGACCGATTACATCGATTCAAGGCTGAGGGACTGATTACCTCAAACTACTCCTGTTCTTCACAATTCTCCTTTGTATGGCCTGATGAAGCCACTGTATGGTGAAACGTTTCCTCATTAAAGATACCCAAGTGTTGCACATGTTTTCTAATTTATCAAGCAGACCTAGAAAATATACAGAGGTTACTATAACAATTTTGCAAGTTACTTAATTTTTTTAGATATCAGATTATGGATGAACTTTTTCAATCACAGTTACATAAAATCTCGCTATGTGATGTTGCTTTATAAAATGATTCACTGTATTATTACTACTATAGAATGTTTAGAAATTTCCTTTTGCCCCCTTTGTTATGACACACTGACCTACTACATACTTTGTGAATTCTAAATCCAGTATATTCATTTACTAATTATCTACATTATCTTGGCCCTTTGATGCTTTCTGAGGCAAACCCTGCCTACTCATGTGGCCTATACTGCAACACAGCTCAAGATTCTTAACACCTGCCTCTCTTACATAAAAGTCAAATAAACAAGCTAAATGTTTCAGCATATGTTTGAATTACTACATGGCAATGATTAATATCAGGTTGAGAATTGCAGAGGCAGCAAGATTAACCTCTTGATCATATATTTAAATTGGATACAGAACAAATGGACTATAGAATGTCCCTAGGAGTAAGCAATCACATCATTCTGATGTTTTACTTCTTACTGAAAGTGAAAAACTGAGTCATAGGAGATAAGACAAAGGATTCAAGGCAACAGAATTCAAAGAGGCAACTAAGAAGGAATGAGATGATTCCTGTTAGAAATCCAGTGGAACACCAAGCTTAGTGAGAAACCCACACAAGAAATGATGGGTTTCTCCATTATAAATGAAGGAAAGCATCAGACAAATTTGTACTCACCTGAAGAAAAGCAGAAGAAAGGCACTATGGGCCTTTTGTTTAATTGGTAATACAGAGATGTCCAATTTACAAATAAAAACGTCTGGGAAATATAAAGTGCCACCCACACCAGTTAGAAAAATGTCAGTAAACCATCAAGTGATAAAGATCAGAAAAGTGGTGGACTACCTAGACAATGATAAGGGTGTATGCAAGGAATGCATCAAATGATTAGACCTCGTCTTCAGAGCCAAGCCAGAGCCAGTGCCAGGGGAAGCAAGAGAACAAACCACAACAAACTATTATACACAGAGTTAGGAAGTGCAGTTCCTAAAGGAACAAATTACATTAAAAGCAAAGTGACCTGACAAAATAGTGTCATGGATATTGGAGGGTGTCAATGCTCAGTCCAAGCCACCTGGCCCAGATGGAAAATGTAATAACAGTCTACAAGGGAGACCTGCAGAAGGCCCTAAATTCAAACCGGTTCTCCTAGCAAGTATACCATGCTAAGTTATGTAAGTATACTAAGAAAAAACTGGTGAAACATGTAGAACACTTAATTCCTCACAGAACAGTCAGCAATAGGACATCACTATAAAGTACAAAACATTTATTATTTACAAGCATTAAAAATTTAAGTCTTAGAAACCACATGCCCAAATTAAAATTTAGCCACAATCCTTCTCAATGATAAAAGAAATGTTGAGAAGCTTCTACCCATTTACTTATGTAAGCCTTATAAAAGTGAAAAATGTATGAGGCACTTACTAGATTTCTTTTCCCATCTGGCTTGTCCATTGTACTAAGTAACCTGCAAAGAACACTCATATGATATTTGGAATGGTATATACTACAGTAGATATTACAGTCAATATATGTACTCAATTATTAACTTACAGACTAAATCATACAAATATAAATGCTAGGCTATGATACCATGTGAGATAGTAACTAATTATGAACTTCTTCTCAACTGGGTCATTCACTACATTGTTTATTGCCCTGAAGTTATTATAATGTCATTTTGTTCTTCAAATACTGTTATACCCATGACAATAAACTTTACTAAATATGTGTAACAGAAGTTATTCTTTTGCTGGAAAACATGGAAATGCATAAATAATTTTTTTATTTTTTTTTATTATCACACTGGCCGATTCCCACCAAGGCATAAATAAATAGAGCAATATCACAATATAGAATAAATTAGCTGCATTGAAAATAACAGTACTTTTTTTTTATCAACACCTCATCTGTCTCCTACCAAAGTAGGGTGACCTAACAAAGAAAATACTTTATTGTTAATGTTGCAGTTTTACAACTGTAGTGTAAGCATGCCTTTGGAAAAACAGCGATGGAGTGAATGATGACAGTTTTTCTTTTTGGGGCCACCCTTCCTTGGTGAGAAATGGCCAATGTGTTAATAATAAAAAAATCAGTTCATTAAATGACATTAAAATCATTACCTTAATATTATAGACATCCTTATAAATATTTTACCAGGGTTATGAAAAATTCTACTGGTATCTAATGCTCCTAAACTTTGGGTATGGCACTTAAATGTTGAGTCAATGATATAGTAAAAGCTTTAAAGGAGGATATGGGACCCTTATGTAATAAATGATCATAATTTAGCCAATGATAGTGAGTGCTGAATGATGGTGAAAATGTTTTCCTTTTTTGGGTCACCCACCTTGGTGGGAGACGGCCGACGTGTTACAAAAAGTTAGCCAAATGTGCCCTATCTTCAATTAACAGGGCATCATTTTAAAGAGGAGTGCCATATGACAACTTTTATCCTGAAATAACTAATTACCAATGTGCAAGTACCATAGGTTTGCCTTTTAACATATCTACATAGCTACATATGATTCCTCAGCACTCTGGATAATAGTTTTAGTAATCTCGCACCTCCTCCTAATTTCCAAACTATGAATTCTCTGCACTATGTTCACACCACACACTGCCCTCAGACATGACATCTCCACTGCCTCCAGCCTTCTCCTTGCTGCAACATTCACCACCCATGCTTCACACTCATATAAGAGTGTTGGTAAAACTATACTCTCAAAGATTCCCCTCTTTGCTTCTACAGAAAGTTCTTTGTCTCCACAGACTCCTAAGTGCACCACTCACCCTTTTCCCCTCATTAATACTATGATTCATCTCATCTTTCATAGACCCATCTGCTGATATGTCCACTCCTAAATATCTGAATACATTCACCTACTCCATACTCTTTCCCTCCAACCTGATATCCCATCTTTCATCACCTAATCTTTATCCTCATCACCTTACTCTTTCCTATATTCACTTTTAATTTTCTTCTTTTACATACCCTACCAAACTCATCCACCAACCTCTGCAGCTTCTCTTCAGAATCTCCCAAAAGCACAGTGTCATCAGTAAAGAGCAACTGTGACAACTCCCACTGTGTGTTTGATTCTTTATCTTTTAACCCCACACCTCTTGCCAAGACCCTTGCATTGACTTCTCTTACAACCCCATCTATAAATATATTGAACAACCACAGTGACATCACACATCCTTGTCTAAGGCCTACTTTTACTGGGAAATAATCTCCCTCTCTCTTACATACTCTAACCTGAGCCTCACTATCCTCATAAAAACTCTTCACTGTTTTCAGTAACCTACCTCCTATTCCATACACCTGCAACATCTGCCACATTGCCCCTCTATCCACCTTGTAATATGTCTTTTCCAAATCCATAAATGCCACACAAACCTCTTTACCCTTATCTAAATACTGTTCACCTAAATGTTTCACTGAAAACACTTGGTCTACACACCCTTTACTTTTTCTAAAGCCTCCTTGTTCATCTGCTATCCTACTCTCCATCTTACTCTTAATTCTTTCAATAATAACTCTCCCATACACTTTACCAGGTATACTCAACAGACTTATTTCCCTATAATTTTTGCACTCTCTTTTGTCCTGTTTGCCTTTATACAAAGGAACTATGCACGCTCTCTGCCAATCCCTAGGTACCTTACCTTCTTCCATAATTTATTAAATAAGAGCACCAACCACTCGAAAACTGTATCGCCACCTGCTGTTAACATTTCTATCTTTATCCAGTCAATCCCAGCTGCCTTGCCTTCTTTCATTCTATCCACTGCCTCACGAACTCCCCCCCCCCCCATGACTGGCTCTTCCACACTCCTACAAGATGTTATTCCTCCTTGCCCTATACACGAAATCACAGCTTCCCTATCTTTATCAACATTTAACAATTCCTCAAAATATTCCCTCCATCCTCCCAATACCTCTAACTCTCCCTTTAATAACTCTCCTCTCCTATTTTTAACTGTCAAATCCATTAATTCCCTACACTTCCTCAACTTATTAATCTCACTCCAAAACTTTTTCTTATTTTCAACAAAATTTGCTGATAACATCTCACCCACTCTCTCATTTGCTCTCTTTTTACATTCCTTCACCACTCTCTTAACCTATGTTTTTCTCTCCATATACTCTAGCCTCCTTGCATCATTTCTTTGTAAAAACCTCTCATATGCTAACTTTTTCTTATTACTTTTTATATTACTTATTCTCCTTCCCTTTATATAAAGGAATTATACATGCTTTCTACCAATCCCTAGGTACCTTCCCCTCTTTCATACATTTGTTAAACAAATATACCAACCACTCCAACACTATATCTCTCCCTGCTTTTAACATTTCTGTCATGATCCCATCAGTTCCAGCTGCTTTACCCTCTTTCATTCTACATAATGCCTCACACATTACATAGAATAATAAAAACATGGGAAAATATATAGTGTTTCAAGAAGGTCCTGTTCGCGTTATTCGCCTATAAAGCAAGAAATAACTTGGAATACATGTCAACAAAATAGTCCATGAATGCATCTTGTAACAATTACATACTAGTACAGTAGTACCTCGGGACTCGAACAGCTCCCAACTCGAACAACTCGGTATTCGAATGCTTTGTTTGGTAAAAAAAAAAAAGTCACTCGGTAGTCGACTGTTTGCTCAGCACTCGACCAAACAATGTGTGTCAGTCTCTACGCAGCTGTTGCTCAGTGCAAAACTCTGCTGAACTTCACTGTAAACTATTTCGTGTTTCTTTGCATTTTTTGGTGTTTTTTTTTATATTACTTGTATAAATAAGATAAAAAATCTAACTAAGTGGGAGTTGTCACAGTTGCTCTTTGCTGATGACACTGAGCTTTTGGGAGATTCTGAAGAGAAGTTGCAGACGTTGGTTGATGAGTTTGGTAGGGTACGTAACAGAAGGAAATTAAAAGTGAATATAGGAAAGAGTAAGGTGATAAGGATAACAAAAAACTTGGGTAACAGAAGACTGGATATCAGATTGGAGGGAGAGAGTATGGAGGAGGTGAATGTTTTCAGATATCTGGGAGTGGATGTGTCAGCAGATGGGTCTATGAAGGATGAGGTGAATCACAGAATTGACGAGGGGAAAAAGGTGAGTGGTGCACCAAGGAGTCTGTATATATGTTGGTAGAATTACCGACAATATGCAAAGTAAAAGGACACAAGTGCAACTACTGTGACAATTTACTGTGGCAACATTTTGCTCTCCAGGAGCTTTGCCAAGCCTTTACAAACAGTACATGGACACAGAGGGTATATGTAGGCTTAGAGTGAGGTGCAATACTAGTGGTAGTAGTGATATAAGTTGTAGTAGTAGTAATACAATATGGTAGAACAATTAGCTTGCACATGAGTAAAAGGATATAAAAGCTATTACTTGGGTAACATAAAAATAGGTTAGACAAATACTTCTATTGGAGGATCTATTAGAGAAGGCCTGTCTCAATGCAGGAGTTTACACTATACCCTGTGGAGGCAGTGACAAGATTTATGCAGGTGAAACAGCAAGAAACCTCTAAACCCACCTCAATGAACACATTTATGCATGGAGGAACAATAACCTGAACAACGCCTGCGTATAACACCGAAATTCCACCAAGCATCTCGTGAAATTCAGGGACACCTGATTAGTGATCAAAGAAACTAATTTCCACAGACGCAAGTGCCTTGAATCAGCACTAATCGCTGTTTCTAATACAATTAAACAAAAAGGCAGCTTCACCATCTCTGAAGTCTTAGCAAGAATCCTCCTGAAAACATTAAACCCTGCCATCTCACAGTCTCTCCTGCTAATACTACACAAGCATATTACAGAGGATGAACACTGAAATAAGCCTTCTCTAATCCAGCCTCCAATAGAAATATTTGTCTAACCTATTTTTATGTTACCCAAGTAACAGCTTTTATATCCTTTTGCTCATGTGCAAGCTTATTGTTCTACCATATTGTATTACAGTGGACCCTCGGGTAACAACGTCATCGGATAACGAAAAAATCGGATAGCGACATGTTTTTGCATCAAAATAGTGGCTCAGTTACTGCAAAAGAGCTCGGTTAAGGACATCTGACCCAAACGTGTCAGTGTGGCGTGAGTGGCCTGGCCACTCCATGTACAGCCAGTGTGCCATTGTTTACAAGTCAGTGAGGACAATTCCACGCGTACATGCAATATATTTTGTATTATTTCATTGTTTTTAGTGCTTGTAACTGCTAAATAAGCCACCATGGACCCAAAAAAACTTCTAGTGCCAGCCCTGTGGTAAAGAGGGTGAGAAACACTATAGAATTCAAGAAAAAGTTTGTAGAATGATACAAAAGTGGTAGTGGTAGAAGGTGGTAGTGATGGTGGTAGTGGGTGGTAGTATGAGCCAACAGGTCTGCTGCAGTGTTCTTGCTTTCTTATGTACACCAGCCAGGGTACTTCCCCACATACCAGCCAGAGTACTTCCCTACATACCAGCCAGGGTACTTCCCCACATACCAGCCAGGGTACTTCCCCACATACCAGCCAGGGTACTTCCCCACACACCAGCCAGGGAACTTCCCCACACACCAGCCAGGGTACTTCCCCACATACCAGCCAGGGTACTTCCCCACATACCAGCAGAGTACCTCCCCACACACACGATTTGATTTCATTGGGACTTGCGCATGAGTAAATAGAATTGTTAAAGCTTATTGCTTGGGAAGCATTGAAAATGGGTTGGGCAAATACGATTCTGTTAGTGGGATGGTTTGTGAAGGACCTGCCTAGTATGGGCCAACAGGCGTGCTGCAGTGTTCCTGTTTTCTTATGTACAAACATTTATGGATGAACATCACCCTGACACAGCTGTTGCAGGCCATGCTGGCAACACCTACAATGACAATGTTGTGTCCTATTTTAGGGAAATTTTAAAGACACACCAGAAACAGAGCTCTCTCGACAGATTTTTGGTGGGACGGGTCCAGTTACTCTCACGCTGGTCCTAGTAGCATTAAAAAACAAAGAAGGGAGGTAACCCCAGAAAAGGACTTGTTACCTGAAGTCTCTATGGAGAGCGAAATGTTGCCACAATAAAATGTCACATTAGTTGCACTTGTGTCCTTTTACTTTACATACTGAGGAGTCTCTGGAGACAAAGAACTTTATCTATAAAAGCAAAGAGAGGAATGTATGAGAGTATAGTTATCCCAACACTCTTGTATGAGTGTGAGGCATGGGTTGTGATATTGCAACAAAAAGGCTGGAGGCAGTGGGGATGTCATGTCTGAGGGCAATGTGTGGTGTGAATATAATACAGAGAATCAGTAGTTTGGAGATTAGGAGGAGGTGTGGGATTACCAAAACTATTATCAAGAGGGCTTAGGAGGGGTTATTGAGATGGTTTGGACACACACAGAGGATGGAACAAAATAGAATGACTTCGAGAGTGTATAAATCTGTAGGGAAGGGAAGGCAGGGTAGAGGTCGGCCTAGGAATGGTTGGAGGGAGGGGGTAAAGGTGGTTTTGTGTGCAAGGGGCTTGGACTTCCAGCGAGCATGCGTAAGTGTGTTAGATAAGAGCAAATGGAGACAAATGGTTTTCAGGACTTGACATGCTGTTGGAGTGTAAGCAAGGTAACATTCATGAAGGGATTCAGGGAAACTGGCACTCTGAAGGAGGGGTGTTAATGTTGCAGTTTTATAATTGTAGTGTAAGCTTGCTTCTGTCAAGGCAATGATGGAGTGAATGATGATAAATTTTTTTTTCTTTTTCAGGCCACAATGCCTTGGTGGGAAACAGCCGATGTCTTAAAAAAAAAAAAAAGTCACACACACCATCTGTCACATGGGGTTTCGAAACGTGGATTGGGTAAGAAACACTCACGTAGGATGTTAAGTAAGTATATTGGATGGAATATATGGGGAGCGCCTTTGCCTGACCTGCCGTCTGTCCTAACGTCTCTACTTGAACTGACTCATGAGCGCTTAGAGGGTGAGCGGCATACAAATTATGCTAGGTCAGCTGTAACAGTGAATAACAGTCAGTGATTCACGCAGGAGCAGAGGATCAGTAAGGGTCGGTGTATGAGTCATTACTACTGACACTACTGGTAACTGGTACTGGAAATACTGACACATCAACTCTTCAGTTACAGGTAAAGTGAGAATAAATCTGCATTTATTTCATGTATTCATTGTGCTTATTTTTTTTTCTTTTTTTAAATTTATGCATGATAGGCTTGTAAACTAAAGGTAGTAGGTTGGTAGACAGCAACCACCCAGGGAGGTACTACCGTCCTGCCAAGCGAGTGTAAAATGAAAGCCTGTAATTGTTTTACATGATGGTAGGATTGCTGGTGTCCTTTTTTCTGTTTCATAAACATGCAAGATTTCAGGTACGTCTTGCTACTTCTACTTACACTTAGGTCACACTGCACATACATGTACAAGCATATATATACATACCCCTCAGGGTTTTCTTCTTTTTTCTTTCTAGTTCTTGTTTATTTCCTCTCATCTCCATGGGGAAGTAGAACAGAATTCTTCCTCCGTAAGCCATGCGTGTTGTAAGAGGCGACTAAAATGCCAGGAGCAAGGGGCTAGTAACCCCTTCTCCTGTATATATGTATTACTAAATGTAAAAGGAGAAACTTTCGTTTTTCCTTTTGGGCCACCCCGCCTCGGTGGGATACGGCTGGTTTGTTGAAAGAAGAAAGAGGTTTGTAAACTTCATGTTAAAATGCTTTAAGTATATTTTTGGGGGTCTGCAACAGATTAAACTAATTTACATTATTCCTTAAGGGAAAAATTCGTTCGGTACTCGAACAGATCAGCACTCGAACAGTCTTCTGGAACAAATTAAGTTCGAGAACCGAGGTACTACTGTACTTTTAGAAGAAGCAAATGAACATGATTTACAACTAATTACCAAATGAAGATCAATCTCTAGAGGACATTTCAATCCATGATAACCCATTATCATAATAGTAAAGGACAGATCAACATATCATCTAAGTATTTATTTCAAATTTGTCACATTCTATTTAACATAATTCAGCTTGAAAATCTTTAAGGAACAGAAAAAATAAAGAATAGTACCGGTAGTCTTTGGAGTATGTAAAACCAACAAAGGGGAGATGATTTCCAACAAAGGCTTTAGGAGTTGGAAAGCTTTCTTCCGGCGAGTCTTCATTCTCCACCTCGTCAAAATTACTGGTGTCATCATCACTTGTGAGGTCCGGAACTACTGGCGGTACACCTATCATGTGAAGTAACAATTAGAAAGGAAAGTAGGTTTACCTGATTATTACTGTAACATAAGCCATCATTATCACCTTCCTTCCTCTCACTTTCATGATCTATTGAGATCATTAAAACCTAAATTTTTCAGCCAATAAAATATGGGAGTTCAACACACTAGGGAACATTTACAAGCTTTTAGTTGCTGGAGAAATTGACAAATCTAAAAAATGAGGTAAAAAATTATTCATCATCATATAAGCATATTTCTTCTTTTTCATTTTAGTAGGCTATACGGGAAAAGGGGTTACTAGCCCGCTATACGGCAAAAGGAGTTACTAGCCCACTGTTCCCAGCATTTTAGCTGACTTTTACAACACACATGGCTTACGGAGGAAAGATTCTTATTCCACTTCCCAATGAACATAAGAGAAAGAGCAATAAGAACAAGAACTATCAAGATAAAATCAAAGAAAACTCAGATGAGTGTGTATACATAAACGTGTACATGTATGTGTAGTGTGACCTAAGTGTAAGTAGAATTATCAAGACATACCTGAAATCTTGCATGTTTATGAGACAGAAAAAGAGACACCAGCAAACCTACCATCATGTAAAACAATTACAGGTTTTCATTTTACACTCACTTGGCAGGACGGTAGTAGTACCTCCCTGAGTGATTGCTGTGTACCAACCTACTACTATTTCTTTGGGGGTAAAGCAGCTGGAACTTACGGGATTATGACAGAAATGTTAAAAGCAGGGGGGATATAGTATTGGAGTGGTTGGTATTTTTGTTTAATAAATGCATGAAAGAGGGGAAGGTACCTTGGGATTGGCAGAGAGCATGTATAGTTCCTTTATATAAAGGGAAGGGCAACAAAAGAGATCATAAAAATTATAGGGGAATAAGTTTACCGAGTTCAAGGTTGATAGACAGCAACCGCCCAGGGAGGTACTACTGTCCTGCCAAGTGAGTGTAAAACAGAAGCCTATAATTGTTTTACACGATGGTAGGATTGCTGGTGTCTTTTTATTATCTCATACACATGCAAGATTTCAGGTACGTCTTGCTACTTCTACTTACACTTAGGTCACCCTACACATACATGTACAAGCATATATATATAAAAACACCCCTCTGGGTTTTCTTCTATTTTCTTTCTAGTTCTTGTTCATGTTTATTTCCTCTTACCTCCGTGGGGAAATGGAATAGAATTCTTCCTCCGTAAGCCATGCGTGATGTAAGAGGCGACTAAAATGCAAGGGGCAAGGGGCTAGTAACCCCTTCTCCTGTATAAATTACTAAATTTAAAGAGAAACTTTCGTTTTTCTTTTTGGGCCACCCTGCCTTGGTGGGATACGGCCGGTTTGTTGAAAAAAAAAATTAAAAGGAGAAACTTTTGTTTTCCTTTTGGGCCACCCCGCCTCGGTGGGATACAGCCAGTGTGTTGAAAGAAGAAGAAAGAAGTTTACCGAGTATACAAGGAAAAGTGTACTGTAGGGTTATTATTGAAAGAATTAGAGGTAAGACAGAGAGTACAACTGCGGATGAGCAAGGAGGCTTTAGAGTGGGTAGGAGATATGTTGATCAAGTGTTTACATTGAAGCACATATGCTAACAGTATTTAGAAAAAAGTAGGGAAGTTTTCATTGCATTTATGGATTTAGAAAAGGTATATGATTCAATTAATCATAGAATTGTGGTTAATCACAGAATTGATGAAGGAAAAAAGGTGAGTGGTGCATTGAGGTACATGTGGAGGCAAAAAATGTTATCTGTGGAGGCAAAGAAGGGAATGTATGAAAGTATAGTAGTACCAACACTCTTATATGGGTGTGAAGCTTGGGTTGTAAATGCTGCATCGAGAAGGTGGTTGGAGGTAATGGAGATGTCCTGTCTAAGGGCAATGTGTGGTGTAAATATTATGCAGAAAATTCGGAGTGTGGAAATTAGGAGAAGGGGTGGAGTTAATAAAAGTATTAGTCAGAGAGCTGAAGAGGGTGTGTTGAGGTGGTTTGGTCATTTAGAGAGAATGGATCAAAGTAGAATGACATGGAGAGCGTATAAATCTGTAGGGAAAGGAAGGCGGGGTAGGGGTCGTCCTCGAAAAGGTTGGAGGGAGGGGGTAAAGGAGGTGTTGTGGGTGAGGGGTTTGGACTTCCAGTAAGCGTGTGTGAGCGTGTTAGATAGGAGTGAATGGAGACGAATGGTATTTGGGACCTGACGATCTGTTGGAGTGTGAGCAGGGTAATATTTAGTGAAGGGATTCAGGGAAACCGGTTATTTTATATAACCGGACTTGAGTCCTGGAAATGGGAAGTACAATGCCTGCACTCTAAAGGAGGGGTTTGGGATATTGGCAGTTTGGAGATATATATTGTGTATTTTTATACGTATATACTTCTAAACTGTTGTATTCTGAGCACCTCTGCAAAAGCAGTGATAATGTGTGAGTGTGGTGAAAGTGTTGAATGATGATGAAAGTATTTTCTTTTTGGGGATTTTCTTTCTCTTTGGGTCACCCTGCCTTGGTGGGAGACAGCCGACTTGTTGAAAAAAAAAAAAATATGATTGAGTGGATAGAGGAGCAATGTGGAAGATGTTGTAAGTATACTGCATAGGTAGTAAGTTACTAAATGTTGTAAAGAGTTTTCATGAGGATAGTGAGGCTCAGGTTAGGGTGTGCAGAAGAGAGGGAGATTACTTCCTGGTAAAAGTAGGTTTCAGACAGGGATGTGTAATGTCACCATGGTAGGGGGTCGTCCTCAAAAAGGCTGGAAGGAAGGGGTAAGGGAGGTTTTGTGGGTGAGGGGCTTGGACTTCCAGCAGGCATGCGTGAGCGTGTTTGATAGGAGTGAATGAAAATGAATGGTATTTGGGACCTGACGAGCTGTTGGAGTGTGAGCAGGGTAATATTTAGTGAAGGGATTCAGGGAAACCAGTTATTTTTATATAGCTGGACTCGAGTCCTGGAAATGGGAAGTACAGTGCCTGCACTCTAAAGGAGGGGTTCGGGCAGTTTGGAGGGATATGTTGTGTATCTTTATACGTATAAGCTTCTAAACTGTTGTATTCTGGGCACCTCTGCAAAAACAGTGATTATGTGTGAGTGAAGTGAAAGTGTTGAATGATGATGATAGTATTTTCTTTTTGGGGATTTTCTTTCTTTTTGGGTCACCCTGCCTCAGTAAGAGACGGCTGACTTGTTGAAAAAAAAAATGAGCATATTTTACCAGTTATGTATGAGAGATTGGGCTTTTGTGTGTGTTTCCTTCCAAAATGTGCAAAGGTCATGTATATACATGATGGCCCCATATTACAGTGCTTCACTTTACAGCATTTCACTAATGGAACAGTTTTCAGTTATACCCATTCTTCATTTATTCAGACTTCTTACAATATATATATTCACTACTCACTATCAGCTAAGGATGAAATTATTTTATGGTGAGTAATATGTATACTGTATATGCACTTTTTAGGCCTAGCTCTATTCTTAATATAAGATAGTGTAAATATGTTATCAGGCTTTCATATGCATTTGAAAGAAAGAAAGAAAGCCTATGTCTCACTTTACAGCAGTAGCCCGGAATCTAAAATACTGTATAAGCAGGACCCTCCTGTACTGACTTTTTATAATATAAAAATACAGAAAAGGAAAATTTATAAATCTCTAAACTATCTTTTACTTGTATAAAATTTTGCGTTCAATACTATTTTAAGTGCTTTTAACCAAGAAAAATGTTGGTAAATATCAAGTGGGAGACTAATAACTTGCTCAAGTCATGGATGACCAAGCACCTTCACTTTACCTATCTCCATAATCCATTACAGCAAAGCCTAAAATTCTTTCATGTTATCAAGAATAATGATACTAAATAAGAAGAAAAAATGCAAAAGCCTTCTTCCAGACAAAGTGATTTTCTACCTGTTGTGGCAGAATTATTATTATTAGTCAATTATTTCTACATGTTAGCAGAATTACTTTGACTAAATATGAAGAATAAATTATGAATTTGGATAGCAAGAACATCTGCATTTGCTGTACGATACAAGAACATAAACCCAACTACCAGCTGTTGTGGGGATACATTCCTGAAAAACAATAAGAGGAAAAATTCAATGATGATATGTATTCCCCACTCCACAACCATTTTCTCTATCAAACTTTACCTTAACACTGAAATGCCATACTGTATATGGGAAATTAAGAACAAAAGTGTAAGGCATTGAACAAAACCTCTAGATGGGATTGATGTTTATGTTAATACAGTAACAGTATTAAGAATACTTACATTCTCTGATGGTATCAAAGGTCCACTGATCGTTGAAAAAGAATTTGTGTCTCTTGATCTCATCAACGCCATTTCCACCCAACCTTGTTAACCTGAAAGAAGTGTGTCAAGTTACTTTCTACAATAATACTAGTTCAGAATGACCAACATACTGATTGACAATATATGAAATTATTCTATAGGAAGTTGCTGTATCAACAAAAGCTGTGCTAAATCTCTTTCCTGAGACATTATTAAAATATAGTAGTTTAGAAGACAAAGGTTCTGTATTTTTTTTTTTTTTAACATGTCGGCTGTTTCCACCAAGGCAGAGTGACCCAAAAAGAAAGAAAAACCCAAAAAGAAATAAAAAACTTTCTTTATCATTCAACACTTTCATCATCACTCATACTTAATCACTGCCTTTGCAAAGGTGCCCAGATATGACAGCTTAGACCAGGGGTGGGCAAACTTTTCAGTGCATGGGCCACATTCAGAAATTCACAATTTTAAAGGGCCGCCATTTGCGGGTAACGCGTTAATGTTCCACAATATTATTTGGCGTTGCATGGTAACTTTTTTTTTTTCAAATTTACTAACATTTTGTTCCCAAATAACATGAGTATATGACTTGATCTTGTCAGGCCGCATGAAAAACTTCAGCAGGCCACAAGTGGCCCACGGGCCATAGTTTGCTCACCACTGGCTTAGACGAATATTATCCCTCCAAACTGCCAATAACCCAAAACCCCTCCTTTAAAGTGCAGGCATTGTATTTCCCATTTCCAGGACTCAAAGTCTGGCTAACCAATTTTTCTGAATCCCTTCACGAAATATTACCCTGCTCACACTCCAACAGCTCGTCAGGTCCTAAAAACCATTCGTCATCATTCACTCCTATCTAACATGTTCATGCGCGCTTGCTGAAAGTCTAAGCCCCTCATCCACAAAACCTCCTTTGCCCTCTCCCTCCAACCTTCAGGGATGACCCTTACTCCGCCTTCCTTCCCCAACAAGTCATTCGACTTTGTTCCATTCTTTAAATGACCAAACCACCTCAACAACCCCTCTGACTAATACTTTTAGTAACTCCACACCTTCTCCTAATTTCTACACTACGAATACTCTGCATAATATTTACACCACACATTGCCCTTGGAAACGACATCTTCACTGCCTCCAGCCTCCTCCTCACTGCAGCATTTACAACCCATGCTTCACACCCATATAAGTGTGCTGCTACCACTATACTTTTGTACATTCCCTTCTTTGCCTCCATGGATAATTTTTTTTTTGTCTCCACTCACCTTTTTTCTTCATCAGTTCCATGGTTAACCTCATCCTTCATAAACCCATCCGCTGACAAGTCAACTCCCAAATATCCGAACACATTCGCTTCTTCCATACTCCTCCCTCCAATCTGATATCCAATTTTTCTTTATCTAAATCGTTTGATACCCTCATGACCTTACTCTTACCTATGTTCACTTTCAACCTTTACACAATCTCCCAAACTCATTCACTAACCTTTGCAACTTTTCTTTAGTATCTCCCAAATGCACAATATCATCAACAAAAGTGCCACAGTTAATATCCAGAGACGAGATAGGATGAAGAGATCAAAAATTTATTCAATAACACATGGCCAAGGCAGATATGGGATGCCTAGACACAGTGAACTGGTGGCATCGGAGGATATTTGCATAAAAAACAAGACTAGGCCTCCTCCATAAAAACAAATGCCACGCATAAAGCAAATCACTCAGCAAAGGGGTGTAAGATCGCACTACATGGTCGTCATCCTGTGCTACTCAAAACTGGCTCACAAAATTTCAATCATGTCTTAATGAAAACATGTTACTTGAGCACATGTTATTCAGTGAAAACTAGAGAGGGGGGGGTAAAGGAGGTTTTGTGGGTAAGGGGCTTAGACTTCCAGCAAGTGTGAGTGAGCGTGTTAGATAGGAGTGAATGGAGACGAATGGTACTTGGGACCTGACGATCTGTTGGAGTGTGAGCAGGGTAATATTTAGTGAAGGATTCAGGGAAACCGGTTATTTTCATATAGTCGGACTTGAGTCCTGGAAATGGGAAGTACAATGCCTGCACTTTAAAGGAGGGGTTTGGGATATTGGCAGTTTGGAGGGATATGTTGTGTATCTTTATATGTGTATGCTTCTAGACTGTTGTATTCTGAGCACCTCTGCAAAAACAGTGATAATGTGCGAGTGTGGTGAAAGTGTTGAATGATGATGAAAGTATTTTCTTTTTAGGGATTTTCTTTCTTTTTTGGGTCACCCTGCCTCGGTGGGAGACGGCCGACTTGTTGAAAAAAAAAAAACTTACAGTATACACAAAGTTAATAGCACAACTAAGAACTACTATATACAGTGTTCACAGCTTTTACAGCATGATAACCACAATACACAATACCCTTTTAACTGGACTAACAGAATATTTCTATCATGTACAAACATCTGTGTTTTCTGAGCATCATTATTTCAACCATTTTTATTCAATATTCAGACATGTAGAATTAAATGAGATAATGTACTGGATTTATAGCAGAGTACTATGGATTGTTCATACAGAATGCTCTAGTACAATGAACTGGTAACACACATTTCTTTATGTAGAATGAGGTTATTTTTGACACCCTTAAAAGATTTCAGAAATGAGAATTGAAATAGGCTTTATACTACCACAAATATTAAATCAGAGCCCTGAACAATTAATGCTCTCACAATCTTACCTGTCTGTCAAGAAACCACATATGAGACTCTTCGCTTCAGATGATATTTCTATATCCTCAGGAAATTTAAGGGAGTTTTTATGGTCCATGATTTTGCCATACGTGCCAACTAGAGAATCGGCATAGAAAGGAGTGTCCCCTACTAACATTTCATAGAGGAAAACACCTACTGACCACCAGTCACACTCACGACCATAGACACCCTCACCACCCTGAGACTTTAGAACTTCAGGGGAGATGTAGTCAGGAGTTCCCACAGCTGTGTCAGATCTTACCAAGCCATCCTAGAAAAAAATTACACTATTTCTAAATTATATCTCATGTGTGTGATTTCTGCATTAAATTACAGTTGTTTTGGGGGCTGAAAACTATGATTAAGTTGCATAAACTTTGCAATTTTAACAAGTAAAATGAGCAATTCAAAATACAAGAGAATATAAAACTTCATGCAAGTGTGTATAATTTGTTCATACTTATTGATATCCAAAATTTGAGTGACTTACCTTATCCATCTTCATACAAGTGCCAAAGTCAGCCAGTTTGAGGTGGCCACTGCTATCCAAAAGCATATTGTCAGGCTTCACATCTCTGGGGAAAGAAATTAAATGTTATTCACATGACACACGTAATAATGTACTTACAGTGCATGACAATGAAATTAAACTTTAAATGATGCTATAGCCTCAGAATCTACTGTGAAGCAATGAACCCTCTGAAAATATCAACCTTTAATATTTTTGTGTTTCACAAAGCACAAACAAATTGCTACTTTGCCTCGGTAGGAGACAGCCAGTGTTAAAGGGAAAAAAAAAATTGCTGTGTAGATGAAACTAAACCTAAAGCCATTTAAATATATTTTCTTGTAACGATATCTAAATTCAAATGTAAATATTAGTGATTATGAATATAAAGGGAAGGGAATGTATGAAAGTATAGTGGTACCAACACTCTTATATGGCTGTGAAGCTTGGGTTGTAAATGCTGCAGCGAGAAGGCGGTTGGAGGCAGTGGAGATGTCCTGTCTAAGGGCAATGTGTGGTGTAAATATCATGCAGAAAATTCAAAATGTGAAAATTAGGAGAAGGTGTAGAGCTAATAAAAGTATTAGTCAGAGGGCTGAAGAGGGGTTGTTGAGGTGGTTTGGTCATTTAGAGAGAATGGATCAAAGTAGAATGACATGGAGAGCGTATAAATCTGTAGGGGAAGGAAGGCGGGGTAGGGGTCGTCCTCGAAAAGGTCGGAGGAAGGGGGTAAAGGAGGCTTTGTGGGCAAGGGGCTTGGACTTCCAGCAAGCGTGCATGAGCGTGTTAGATAGGAGTGAATGGAAACGAATGGTTTTTGGGACCTGACAAGCTGTTGGAGTGTGAGCAGGGTAATATTTAGTGAAGGGATTCAGGGAAACCGGTTATTTTTATATAGCCGGACTTGAGTTCTGGAAATGGGAAGTACAATGCCTGCACTTTAAAGGAGGGGTTTGAGATATTGGCAGTTTGGTGGGATGTGTAATAGGACAGTATATATATAATTGGGGCCCTGATATTGTAATTATTTCAGGTCACTTTTTATATTGTATCTTCATATATGCTTCTAAACTGTTTTATCTGGGCGCATCTGCAAAAACAGTGATTATGTATGAGTGAGGTGAAAGTCTTGAATGATGATGAAAGTATTTTCTTTTTGGGGATTTTCTTTCTTTTTGGGTCACCCTGCCTAGGTGGGAGACGGCTGACTTGTTGGAAAAAAAAAAAAAGATCACCAAAATCATTATTAACCTTTTTGCCATTTTCATAGGTGTAGTGGCACTTTATAATTTATTGTAATGATTACATGTCCCTAACCCAATCTTGTCCCATATTATCATAGGGAAAGTAGGACTGAGTGCACCAATACTGTAATAGTATTAAATCTTAAATACAGTATTAATGTCAGGCATTAGAAAAAAGCTCCAAAAGTTTTATATAGAAGGGGTTTAGATGTGTTAATCTAGTTAGAAGAGGGAATGGGGAAAGGGCTAAGGGATGTGTCTTGAAGGGGTGATGGAATTGGGGGGGGGGGCACTTAAGGCCCAGTTGCCCCTTTCCCTTTATGCCATCCCTGTCAAACATAAAAAAAATTTTATGCCTAAAAATCCACTACATTAGTTTTTAGATATTAGCAGACAATTACAGGATTAGGTATACTTAATACCAGTGCAATAATATAAATTATGAAAACTGATCTAACAGATCTAAAATTTAAAAGTTGGATGCTTGATGAACTTATTTTTTTTAAACTGGACATATGATAATGTTCTGAATCTGAAAGACTATCTTAAATTTATTACTTTCTGCAAGAAAGTAAAAATTACTTCATAAAACTAAAAAATCTCTAATTTATATTTTTTTCAAGTAAAATGACAGAATTATCTACAATTTAGAATTTTCTATACTTCATTATAACATCAAGAAAGGCTAATGCTATGCAAGATTATAATGAAGGAAACTTGCATACAGTCTTGTATTTCGAGGTATGTAAACATGCAGAAAAATCAGAGCATTTAGAGGTTTTTTTTTTTTTTTCAACAAGTCGGCCGTCTCCCACCGAGGCAGGGTGACCCAAAAAAGAAAGAAAATCCCCAAAAAGAAAATACTTTCATCATCATTCAACACTTTCACCACACTCGCACATTATCACTGTTTTTGCAGAGGTGCTCAGAATACAACAGTCTAGAAGCATACACATATAAAGATACACAACATATCCCTCCAAACTGCCAATATCCCAAACCCCTCCTTTAAAGTGCAGGCATTGTACTTCCCATTTCCAGGACTCAAGTCCGACTATATGAAAATAACCGGTTTCCCTGAATCCCTTCACTAAATATTACCCTGCTCACACTCCAACAGATCGTCAGGTCCCAAGTACCATTCGTCTCCATTAGAGGTATATATAATTAAAAAAACAACTACAGATGTCAAGTAAAGATTAATAAGATAATACCCCTTCTATCCTCGATCTATTCAAGTAAATTTAAACTAACTGAAGTGACTGACAAATGTGTATATTCGACCATTACAATAAACTGCATAAATAATACATGTGGCATTAAAAAGATGGCATAATTAGACACTAAGCCTACATGTGTGGTAATGCATATGAAGGAGGGGTGTTAATGTTGCAGTTTAAAAACTGTAGTGTAAAACACCCTTCTGGCAAGACAGTGATGGAGTGAATGATGGTGAAAGTTTTTCTTTTTCGGGCCACCCTGCCTTGGTGGGAATCGGCCGGTGTGTTAATAAAAAAAAATAACTTGTTTAGGTTAGCCCACATTAATATATATAAATTCAACCACAGTACACCATGTTATTTATACTATCTCAAATGTAAATTGTATAGTATTGTACATTATTATTATAATCATGGGGGACCATTTAGCCCATAGGATTATACAGCACATGGGGGAGGGGGGATGGAAGGTTTCAGGTTCAATTCAGAGAACCGGAGCACAGATCCAATTCCCTAGATCAAGAGCCCCTCACCAGCATCAAGGAACTTCCTTTGAGGGGATAGTATTGTACAGTATTATATGGTATTAACAAGTTAACTCTTAGCCATGTAGATCTACACGAGTGGGATTTATGATGGTGCTGTAGATCTATGCATAATTCAGAAAGCCCTCAAATCTACTGTGTGACAAATTTTGGCCTAGACAATATAGTGGGTCTGTGTAATTAATTTTAAGCCAGCCCGAAATGCTATGCATAGTATAAGTGGCTTTGGCATGCTGCTCTTATCTGTATTTTTTTGTACCTCTGTATGTATGCTCAAATTGTTAATAAATAAATAAATAAATAAATAAAAAATCCTGACCCATGCAGTGCATTGTGGGAATGGGTAACCTCTAACCCTGAGTTTGTGTTAAAATAGTAACTGGGTTTTTTTTTTTGTGTGTGGTTTTCATGGTTTTATTAGCTGTTTCTGGGTGCAAATAGACAGAACTGAAGTCATACTAATGCAGTGGAGATTTTTGTCAGTTAAATATAGTTCTGATGGTTTAAATAGCAATTTCTTGCAATCAATGAACAAAATAGAAGACATGCTAGCAAAATAGCCAGGAATAAGAATTAGTTTAAAACAGACCTCAAACTGAGTGAAATCAAGGTTACGTAAAGGTGCTCCCCGACCTCCAACTCTGCACCTACATAATTCTGCAAGTCTTGCATCAAATTTTGAATTTTTGGTTTCACTACCTTAAGGAAAACATTCTCAACCAGTTTAGAGAAGAATTTTTCTTGTATTTTCCAAAAACTGAGAGATGGAAGGAGCATGAAATTTGTGGGCCTTGGACAGTTTTAGGGTTAGAAGAGTATTAGAATACTTTCCTCTTGTATTTAATAACAAAAATTGAATAGTAATTTTTGTATTACTAATAAATTTGTTAAATTAATATGCCCTATTTAAGAACGGTAATTGTTAAGACGTCCTCAAAAATGTTGCACATGATATGGGCTCCGCAAAAAATGCAACTCTTTATGTATCAAAATTTTTAATTTGACACATCTTTATAATGTACTTTTAAAAATAAACTTCAGTTTAAGTCTGACTGAAATGCACTTGGATAAAAAAAAAGTCAATACAAAATTTTATAATGAACAAAGTCTGAAAATCAGTAATTAAACAAGAACAAATTAAAATAACAAACCTGTGAACAAAGCCCATGGAGTGGATAGCATCAAGTGCCAAAACAACTTCAGCACAAAAGAATTTAGCCCATTTCTCTGGTACATCATAGTTGGACATGAGGTTCACCAAGTCACCACCTATAAAGGACAATTATACAATCTATGGTAGATATGTTTAAGAGCAGGCAATCCCTATGACTACTGAGCGAGGGGCTACTTTAAGCTGAAGGTTCACTCCCCAGAGCTGCCAAGTTAATAGATATAGTTAAAAATAGTCTTTAAATTTTAGACACTTCTTACTTCTATGACACTCTTGTTTAGCCACATGCTAAAAACCTTAAACTTTGATACCCACCCAGATTAAAAAAAAAAATGATTAAAAGCCTTTCTATTTGTAGCTTTATACATGCTGTGGAAAGAGAGACATTTAGACACCATAAATACAGACTTACAAAATCAAGAACTTCAGAAAACTGAAATATTTTCACTAAATCCTCCAAAATCAGAAACCCAGGAAAGTGCCTGAAATCCAACAACAGTTTCTTAAACCCTAAATCTACTCTACAGTTAATTCTTTGGGAATGGAAGCCAACACCCAATTAAGATAAGTAGATCAATTACCCATTTTACAGACTTGGCCTAATCAATTGAAAATGAAATAATACAAAACTAAGAATTATTAAAAAAGACAAGTCAAGTGTATGCTGAATTTAAGTAACAGTTTCCATGATCTGTCTGCCATTTTACATGGTCATGAAACATGATTCTGATGTCTAGACATCTTGCTATCTCTGCTTTTTTCTATGTTCACTTTTAATATATTACTCTTACATACTCACTCAAATTTGGTAACTGCCCTTTGCAACTTGTCTTCAGACTCTCCCAAAACAACTGTGTCATTGGAAATGAGATACTGTGACAACTCCCTTGTTATATAAGATCCAACGTCTTTTAATTCCATACCTCTTCCCAAGACTTTAGCATTCACTTCTTTACAATCCATCCATCAATATATTAACCCTTTAACTGTGTCCAACACTATTGTAGACAGGTGATGACTGTACTTGTTGGGCAGTTTTCTGTATATTCAAATACACCACCTGCCAATATTTTTGTCCTCCAGAAACTGTTTGGGTCTCCTACAGTCTCTTCAAGCCTTAGAAAAAAATCTAAGACCAGGCAGGTCCATGCCATGCATTTTGGGAGGTAACACAGACTAACTAGTGTAAGAAAAAATGAAACCAGGACCTGTTCCACCATCAACTACCCTACCAGCAAACAACACGTGGAACTGGCAGGAAGATGCCTTATTTATTCTAAATTTATCACAATTTCATGACACTAGTAGTGAAATTCAGTCATAAAGCACACTATACTGATTCATCCTAGGATAACCCAATAGAAAAATAATGTGACATATCCACATTTCAACAAGTATTACACCTCAAAACAACTGTACTAAGATTTTCTTGCTAATATTTTTTATATTGGTCTTGAAGACGTTATGCACGCAGAGAAATTACATTATGTTAACATAACCCAGGCTATTCCCTAGCCTGGCTATATAACAATAATCTATGTAAAGTAAAAGGACACAAATGCAACTAATGCGACATTTTATTGTGGCAACGTTTCGCTCTCCAGGAGCTTTATCAAGCCATTACAAACAATACATGGACACACCAATCATCTCATGAAATTCAGAGACACCCAATTAGTGATCAAAGAAACTAATTTCCGCAGACGCAAGTGCCTCGAATCAGCACTGATCGCTGTTTCGAATACAATTAAACAAAACAACAGCAGTTTCACAATCTCCGAAGTCTTAGCAAGAATCCTCCTGAAAACAGTAAACCCTGCCATCACATAGTCTCTCCTGTTATACTACACAAAGCACATTACAGAGAGTGAACACTGAAACAAGCTGCCTCTTTCCAGTCTATATTTGTCCAACCTATTTTTATGTTACCCAAGTAATAGCTTTTATATCCTTTTACTCATGTACGAATTAATTGCTCTACCATATTGTATTACTTTTGTCACTACTACTACTACTACCACCACTAGTGAACATCGAAATGGTACCTCACTAGTATTGCACCTCACTCTGAGCCTTTATATACCCTCTGTGTCCATGTATTGTTTGTAATGGCTTGATAAAGCTCCTGGAGAGCGAAACGTTGCCACAATAAATGTCACATTAGTTGCATTTGTGTCCTTTTACTTTACATATTGTCGGTAATTCTACCAACTTTATTACAACAATAATCTAGGAAAAGCCAATATATGGCAGTCAAACAATTTGACTTATCACTATATTTTGAAGTGTGTTACACCTTGAAACAATTGTAATATTATAATTAATCCTTGTAAATATTATAGGACCAAAGAATTAACAAAAATTAAAAAAGAAATTATTTACACAAGTTTATACTGTATATTCCAAGTAAAGCAATGTTGGGTTATGCATTTCTGGAAGTTTGATGTACTGATGAAATACATCTAATATAAGAAATTAGTGTACACAATATTAAAAACAATACAAACTCAAAAACAATCAAAATTTGGCATCAATACACCATAAAATGTAAATAATGCTAGCACAAGTACGCCACTGTTGCTGATGCGTGATCATTTTTTTGCCAACATCAACGCACCATAAAATCACAAGCCTTTATCAGATTCCACTCATTTTAGTCTTATTCAATTGATAAAAATACATTGTTAATCTAAGATTTTTTTTTTTTTTTTTAAAAACTTGCCTTCAATATGCATCAGAACTGACGGGGTAATGTGGGGAACTTTCTTTCAATATAAATTAGAAATGAGGATAAAGTGAGGGTACCTACCTTTAATATGAATCAGAACTGAAGGTGAGGTGCAGAACTTGCCTTCAATATCAATCAATACTGAGGGTGAGGTGAGGAAACCTACTCTCAGTATATATATACCTCAGAACTGAGGGTGAAGTGAAGTGAAGAAACCTACTTTCAGTATATATATACCTCAGAACTGAGGGTGAAGTGAAGTGAAGAAACCTACTTTCAGTATATATATACCTCAGAACTGAGGGTGAGGTAAACAAACCTACCTTCAATATGAATCAGAACAGAGAACACTGCGAGCAGCCTATGTGAGCGAGCCTACCTTTACTATATGGCTCAAAATTCAAGGTGAAACACACTGAATGTGCAAAGCAAAAAGATAAGGTTTCTTTCATATAGCTTTCCATTTACTTGAAGCTACAATTTGAAAAAAATGCTTAGCTTATTAATTTTTAAGCAATATAACCACTTTGTGGTTTCCTCACCTGGCATGTAATCCATAACCATGTAAAGGAACTTAGAATCCTGGAATGCAAAATGAAGTTGCACAATCCATTCGGAATTAGCGTGAGCCATGATGTCCCGCTCCTCCCAAAAAAATGCAGAATCTGATCGCTTGATCATTTCAATCTTGCTCAACAGTTTCATAGCATATACCTGAAAATACAAAATTAAGAGATTTGTTTGTAGAAATAAAATCCTCATGGAAACAAATTTATAGAATTAGTAGCATATGTCATTTGAAATCTTTTTTTTCAACATACCTTTTTAGTAAATTTATGTCTAACAAGCTGAACTTCGCCAAATGCCCCCCTGCCAATGACTTTAATGTTGGTAAAATCTTCAGCTCGCATTCGCAATAGCTCCACATCCAGTATGGACTCACGATCTGCAAGCAATTTTTTTTATATATAATAATTTAGTGCATATATGAAGAATAAGTGATTCCACTCCTAGTACCTACTTTCTCACATTTTTTTTAAATTTATTACATTAGCATATGCATATGCTTGGATTAGTGTCAAACACTGATTGTGTCCAAGTGCTTTCTTACTTTTCACATGAGAGCTTGTATATATAAACATTTCCTGCACTATAAAGGAGGGGTTTGAGATATTTGCTGCTTAGATGACATCTAAACTCTCATATCTGTGCACATCTGGCAAGACACCAATAGTGTGAATGATGGTGAAAGTGTTTCTTTTTGGGTTACCCTGCCTTCGTGGGAAATGACCAGCATGTTAAAAAAAAAAAAAATAATTTATGAAGCTATACTGGGAGACTGGTTAGCCAAATGGGAAGCAATGCCTGTACCTTGACCTGTACTCCCTGGGAGTGCTACGAGTACAATTTGAGAAAACACAATAAGTGTCTGGGATCCAAGACTGTTCAGCCAACTCCCATCATACATAAGGTAAATTACCAATAGTCCCCTAGCTGTCTTCAAGAGTGAAATGGTCAAAGACCTAAAGTCAGTGCCCGGTCAGCTAGGCTGTGGCTCATACATTGCATTACATGTGGCCAACCTGGTTGAGCAGGCCCTGATCTACCAGGAGGCCTGGTCAAGGACTGGGCCTGAGGGGCATTGACCCCCAAAACACCTCCAGGTAGAGGCGTGATAACGCTGCAATTTAAACTGTGATGTCTGCAAAGCTCTGGCATGACAAGTACTGAATGAATGATAAGAGATATTTTCCATTTTTTGGGGTAACCCAACCTTGCTGAGAGATGGCTGGCATAGTTAATAATTTTAAAAATCATGAAATGAGATTCACAATACTCACTGCTCTACAACTATTACTTAATTTTCAAAATTATACAAGATTTACTTTTTAAATTACAGCAAACCCTTGGTATTCACAAGAGTCTTGTTCCCTGAAAACACTATTGTACAGAGGATCCCTGACTTACAAACATCAAGCACTAGAAAAGTATTTTTATTTTTGTGTGCAGGTTTTTTAATATTTTTCTGGGTATAATTAAAACTACCAGGTTTATGAACTTTATTAGAAACTGATCTTCAAATTTACACTGTACTAAATCTCTTGATAACTACTGTACCATATACTGAAAAAATTAAGTATAGTTATACACTTAACCCTTTCAGGGTCCGTCCCGTAGATCTACGGCTTTACGGTGAGTGTCCAAACCGTAGATCTACGCCATGAGCTCAGCTCACTCTGATAAACTGTGAGTGGTACATTTGGGCCTAGATATGAGAGAATACATCTATGTGGTATGTGTGCACCACATAAAACAAGATCCTGCAGCACACTGTGTATAATGAGAGAAAAAAACTGAAATCATGATTTTTCGATTAAAACAGCGACTTTGCAGTGTTTTTTCGTATGTTTTTTATAGTTGTATTTGCGATTTCTTGGTCTCATTTGATAGAATGGAAGACATATTACAGAAATAGAGATGATTTTGATTGGTTTTAGCACTGGAAATGGCTTGAAACTGAGCTCAAAGTAGCGGAAATGTTAAATTTTTGCCGATATTCAAGAGTAAACAAACGACCTCACACATCTAATACACGTCAGCTGGTGGGTCTAATATACATTCACAAATATGGTGATGATATTTATACAATTATTACAGTATTGCATAACAGTAAATCTTCTATTTTTTGGTGTGAATAAAAAATCATTATGTGAATAAAAAATCAAAATGGAATTTATTTGTAAAGCCTCAAACTGTAACTAATGAACAGAGGAAATGTTAGTTTAGTTCCAGGAATACCTACGTTGTTTATTCTGGAGCCTATTTTGAAATTGGAATATTTTGAACTTTGTGTTAAATTGGCCAAATTAACAATTTCCGATCACTTTATTTTGTAGTTGAAACAGTTGACTTGGCGATTTCTTGTGCTCAATCGATAGAATAGAAGTAATACTAGTGAAATAGCTAAGAATTTGGTTGATTGGAATAATGTAATTGGCCTAAAATGGGAGTCAAAGTCGGCAAAATCGCCGATTTGTAAATATCGCTGACACATCAAAATTCGCAAGAGCATAATTTCGTCAATTTTCCACCAAATTTCGTACTTTTTGTTTTATTACCTTCACAAAAAGATTCTCTACGATTTCATAAGAAAAAATAACAAATTTTTTTTTTTTAAATTCTTGGACACTGGTGCGTGACTTCAGATTTTGGCCTTGGACCCTGAAAGGGTTAAACTAATTTTTTCAACAATCTGAGCAGGAAATAAATTTATGCATAAGAAATGAATCAATAAACTAATAAAGATTGGTAAAAATTTTAGTGACATACACTTAAAAAGTTAAAAACCAATAATATAATTAATAGTATACTAGAAAACTACTGATTAAAAACTTGAACACCAAAGCCCAAAGTAACTTTTGATAAATAGAAAATACACAAGCATTAACACTCCAACTTACATCTATTAATGAATGCCTCCACATTTTTGTTTCTTCTGATGGCTTGATGATCGCAGTCTGCGACCATCGCCTGCATTGCATCCTGAGGACATAAAGCAGTATTAGTGATTAATGAAAATGATCCACATATGAGAACATAAATGTCATTTCCAAGGGGTAAAGTATTTATTATTACAGAACTATTTTAGCCAGGAAATAATCTGTTGTATTGCCTCAAAAAAATTTTTATTTACTTATTTCATTCAAGTCTAAACATAAAAATTCAAAAGTGTATGAATCTGTAGTGGAGGGAAGGTGGGGTAGGGGTCAGCCTAGGAAAGGTTGGAGGGAGGGGGTAAAGGAGGTTCTGTGTGTGAGGGGCTTGGACTTCCAGTAAGCATGCATATATGTATGTGTGTGTGTGTGTGCGCATGTGCGCATGTGTGCACGTGTGTGCGCGTGTGTGCGTGTGTGTGCATGCGCACGCGCGTGCGCGAGCATGCACTAGATAGGAGTGAATGGAGGCAAATAGTTTTTAGGACTTAATGTGTTGTTGGTGTGTGACCAAAGTAACATTTATGAAGGGATTCAGGGAAATTGGCAAGCCGGACTTGAGTCCTGGAGATGGGAAGTACTACAGTGACTGCACTCAGAAGCAGTTTTATAACTGTAGTGTAAGCATGCCTCTGGCAAGACAGTGGAGTGAATGATAATGAACATTTTTCTTTTTACAGGCCACCCTGCCTTGGTGGGAAATGGCCAATGTGTTAATAAATAACAAAAAAAATTCAAATATTTATATACATAGCTACTGGTCAATTATTCTTTCTGTAATTCATGAACTGCCTTAATTATAATTAATGATGTTTTAAACAGTAATTTTAATTCATGTTATGTATCACCATTAAAAATAAAATTTTCATTTCCCTTCAAATCAAGCATGTGTACACTGTGCAGTAGCCACATAAATGGTCCCAACAATGTCACTTAAAAACCATAACCAACCTTCTTCCTAACCAACACTATGCCTACACAACATCCCAGACCATTCCAACACACCATTAATGGCTTCCTCCATCACTATACCTCTCAACAGTACTGAAAATCTCATACAAAATAAAATATGGAAGAGAGCTCCAAAGAATCTAGACCTGACAAAAGATTTTGAAGGGTTTGAGGCTGACCCTGACAACCTTACGCCTGTTGTGAAATCTATTGTGTCCTTCGGGAAGTCCATGGGGTTGGATGTGAGTGGCAAGGATGTGGATGAGTTGGAGGAAGACTACAGTGAAGAGCTAACCACTGAAGAGCTGCAAGACCTTCAACTGGAACAGCAACAGATTGCAGCTGAGGAAATTGCTCCAGAGGAGGAGGAAAAGAGAGGGGAGAATGTGCCTTCTTCGGTGATTAAGGACATTTGTGCAAAGTGGAGTGAGGTGCAAATTTTTGTGGAGAATTATCACCCTAACAAAACTGATGCAAGCCGTGTCTGCAACATGTTCAATGACAATGTCTAGTCCCATTGTAGGCAAATCTTAAAGAGACGCCAAAAACAGGTCTCTCTGGACAGATTTTTTGTGCGACAGGGGTGCAGTGACTCTCAAGCTGGTCCAAGTGCCAATAAAAGACAAAGAAGGGAATTAACCCTATATAGGGCTTTGATACCTAAGTCCTTATGGAGGGGGATTCCCCTTCCAAACAATAACCTCAACTCCTTCTCACCTCCTCACCTTCTTCCATACACTAACAAGAGTTTTAACAAAGGTATGTAATGTTCATTTACCATTAAAATTAGTTATTTATATTTATTTCTCATTGTTTTCTGTATGTAAAACTACAGTGGAACCCCAAATTTCAGCAGTAATCCGTTCCAGGAGCTAGGCCTAAACTTGAAATGGCCGAAAGACAAAGCAATATTTCCCATAAGAAATAATGTATATACAATTAATCCGTTCCAGACCCACAAAAATATTCATAAAAAATACATTTTTTAAAGAATAACTATAGTTTTGCATACACACAACAGAGATAAATACATATATATTACACAATACATGTATTTAAATTTTAATTTATGTAAACATTTAAAATAACATTTACTTACCTTTATTGAAGAGACTTGCTGGCATCTGGAAGATAGGGAGGACTTATTGTTTGGAAGGGGAATCCCCTTCCATAAAGACTTTAGGTAACAAGTCCTTATCTGGGGTTACTTCCTTCTTTGTCTTTAAAGGCCACTAGGACCAGCTTGAGTCACTGGACCCCTGTCACACAAAATAACTGTCAAGAGTGCTCTGTTTCTGGCATCTCTAAGATTTCCCTGAAGTGGGACAAGGTTTTGTCACTGAACATGTTGCAGATATGGCTTGTTTCAGCTTGGTTAGGGTGATACTTTTCAACAAAAGTTTGCAACTCATTCCACTTTGCACACATGTCCTTAATCTCTGAAGAAGCCACCTCCTTCATTCCTCCTCCCTCCTCCTCTGAAGCAAGTTCCTCAGCTGTGGTCTGATGCTGTTCCAGTTGAAGCTCTTGCAGTTTGTCAGTGGTTAGCTCTTCCCTGTGGTCCTCCTCCAACTCTTCCACATCCTCAGCACTCACCTCCAATTCCATGGACTTGCCCAATGCCACAATACCTTCCACACCAGGCAGAGAGTCGGCAGGGTCAGGGTCAGCCTTAAACCCTTCAAAATCCCTCTGGACAACACATTGTGGCCATAATTGTCTCCAAGCAGAGTTCAAAGTCCTGGAAGTCACTCCCTCCCAAGCCTTACCTATAAGGCTTATGCAATGGAGGATACTGAAGTGCTTCCTCCAGAACTCTCTTAGGGTCAACTGAGTGTCTCAGGTCACTTCAAAGCACCTTTCAAACAGTGCTTTGGTATAGAGATCTGTGAAGTTAGAAATGACCTGCTGGTCCATGGGCTGGAGGAGAGGAGTGGTATTAGGAGGCAAAAACTTAACTGTTATAAAACTGAAGTCCATAGACAATAGGTCTTCCAAGTTTGGAGGATGAGCAGGAGCAGTGTCCATTACCAGGAGGCACTTGAGTGGCAAATTATTTTCCATGAGGTGTTTTTTCACATTGGGGCCAAACACTTCATGGACCCACTCTTTGAAAATTTGCCTTGTGACCCATGCCTTATTATTTGCTTTCCACAAGACACAATTTATTCTTGATGACATTGTTTTTCTTGAACACACTGGGATTTTCTGAGTAATACACCAGTAAAAGCTTTACTGTAAAATCCCCACTAGCATTAGCACAGAACAGAAGAGTTAGCCTGTCTTTCATAGGCTTGTGCCCTCACAGTGCCTTTTCCTCCTGAGTAATGTAGGTCCTCTGACATTTTCTTCCAAAACAGGCCCGTTTCTTCACAACTGAACACTTGTTGGGGTTTAAATTTTTCAGTCTCTATGTACCCCTTAAATTCACTCACGAAGTTTTCAAGCGGCACATTTGTCTGAACTTGCTGCCTCACCATACCTTACCACACTGTGTATGCCACTACGCTTCTTAAATCTGTCAAACCAGCCTCTGCTGGCCTTAATTTCACTAGCATCAGCACTGGTTCCAGGCATTTTCTTTATAAGATCGGCATGCAACTACCTTGCCTTCTCACAAATGATCGACTCTGAAACACCATCACCCGCTATCTATTTATTGTTAATCAACACCAACAACTTCTCAACCTCTTCAACTGTTTGTGATCTATTTTTGGATAACATGACAACACCTTTCGCAACATCAGCTTCTTTGAGTTCTTTTCTCTTCACCAGGATAAAAGTGAGAGTTGCTTTGTCTTTGCCGTACATCCTGGCAGGCTCCCCCACAAAAACGCCACTCTTGTATTTTTCTACTATCTCCTCCTTCACTGCTATGGTGTTCCTCACTTTCTTTACCACAAGGCCATGGATGGCTGCCTGGCTGGCTGACTGCCTGGCTGACTGCCTGGCTGGCTGGCTGCAGGATGAGAGTGCAGGATAATGTTCACTCAAGGATAAACAACGCTAGACTGGCTTACGATGCCTGCACGAGCAGGCAGACAAGTCTGGTACACCGGCCATAACTCGGGGCAACAGCCAAAAAGCAGGGCAAAATTTGGCCGAAAAAAGCAGTCAAAACCCGAAGCGGCCAATTCTCAGGGTGGCTAAAACCCGGGGTTTCACTGTACAGTTAATCTCTATAAAATGTATTTTTGGTTAATATTTTTGGGTGTCTGGAATGAACTAATTGGATTTGCATTATTTCTTATGGGAAATATTACTTCAGTTTTTGTTCATTTTAGATTTCAGCCAACCTTCAGGAACGGATTAAGGACAAAAGCCAGGGTATTACTTTACTTGTGACTGATTTCAAGGATTTTTCCATCCTACCAGCCAGGCTTTTAGCTAAGCTTCCTTGTTGTGCCTGCTCAACCAGGCTGTTGATGTTAGGAGCCCACGTAACTACCATAGCCTGCTTGACCTGATACTTGGCTGAGGTGATCCAGTCTCTTCTTTAACCCTCTGACTGTTTTGGCCGTATATATACGTCTTACAAGCCAGTGTTTCAGATGTATATATACTCAATAATTCTAGCGGCTTCAAATCAAGCAAGAGAAAGCTGGTAGGCCCACATGTGAAAGAATGGGTCTGTGTAGTCAGTGTGCACTGTATAAAAAAATCCTGCATAATAAGGAAAAAAAAACTCCGACGGTGTTTTTTAATTAATATGCCGACTTTGAGGTGTATTTTCGTATAGTATTTATAGTTGCATTCTCGTTTTCTTGATCTCATTTGATAGAATGGAAAACATATTACAGAAATAGAGAGGATTTTGATTAGTTTCATGATCAAAACGATCTTGAAATTGAGCTCAAAGTAGAGGAAATGTTCGATTTTTACCAATGTTCAAAAGTAAGCAAATCACACCACATGTCCAATACACGTCAACTGGGGAGTCGAATGTTCTTTCACTAGTGTACTGATATTATTTATACCATTTCTACAATAATGCAGTAGTCTGCATAACAGTAAATCTTCTATTTTTTGTGTGAATAAAAAATCAAAATAGAAAGCAACAGGGGCCTGGAGACGTGACTAATGAACAGAGGATATGTTATTTTAGTGCCACAAATGTCTGCATTGTTTATTCTGGACCCTATTTTGAAATGGGCCTGGGACAGTCAAAGAGTTAAGAAACTGAAGTAGTTCTGGCAATATTTGATAACTGCTACCAGTAGGCTGAATAATCTTGCACCATAGATGCTGACACAATATTGGTTTCCTTATTATACTTGTGGTGCCTCTTTTTTTTTACTGAATTGATATCATACTCCCTCCTGCATCATTCATATGGTGTCCCGTAGCTCGATTGCTAGCACACTCAGCTGACACACTGAGGTCCAGGGTTCAAATCTCCTCCAGTACCACTGGAAAACATTAGGGACATGTTTCCATAAGACACCTGTTGTCCCTGTCCCTGTTCACTCATCAGTTTAAAATGGGTATCTGGGTGTTAGTCGACTGGTATGGGTCGCATCCTGGGACAAAATTGACCTAATTTGCCCGAAATGCTCAGCATAACAAGGGGCTTTCTATATGGTAGTATGTCATTGATGTCAGCTAGGTCTGTATACCATGTACATGTACTTGTAGTAAATAAAGACATTATTAGTAATATATTATATTATTATATTAGTGTGTTAAGGTTATTGTGTAGATTTGGGATCTGGCCCTCTAATATCTTCCATGTGTATATATTCAGGTACAGGCTCTCTCTTCTTTGCTTCAGAGTACATTTCAAGTGCATTAAACCTTCTCATAACATGCAAGAAATGTTCCTAAAATTGGTGTCATATAGGAATTAGTAGTATGTAAAGTGAAGAACAAATAGGGAAAACAGGGTTACAATTCCAGACACCTTCAGATTCACTACAAACAAATAATTTTATTATTCTACCAGGTACAAATTACAGTAGTTTATCATACCCTACATTATGTGTCATTGCTTGTTGACATAAGTGTGCATGAAGTACTAAACACATACTGTTATGAAAGTTCTCCTTCCTTCCTTCTCTCACAGTTTCAATAAAAGCTTTTTTCTTTATTATCTGAGCACTAACAGAGCCTCTTTTTCTGTTTTCTCAAGTCACAAATTCAGTAACCTTTCTATCTAACATAGGTTAATTTAACTTTTTGACACCCTTTTTACTAGGTCACAATCTGCAGTACTTATTTCACAAGCACTTATTTTCTTCTCATTGTCTCTTAATTGTATGAATGGTGGATTCTGTCAGATCAAAAGTGTAAGCAGTTACATCATACATATGGAAATATGCTTGAAGCATATTTCCACTTTTTTCAAAAGTGATAAGAGCTTCATACCTATTCTTTTTAGTACCTCCACCGTCACCTGAATAAATTTGTGAGCAATTCTCACCAATGACAATCGTGCTATTTTCATTTGCCAGTGGAATACTTTGTTAATATTTGATTGTAAATTTTCTGTATCTTCTACTAAGGCAACTTACATACTTTGGTATCTGCAAAGGATGACACGAAGTTATGAACGCTGTTTTTTCTCCGTTATGACAGTGAAAAACAATATGGGAGATAGGCTTCTGCAGATTTTCGAGGCAGTTATCTATCTTCCCTATCTGCCCAGTGAAATACTCTGACATTATTGGTGGAAATTTGTGCATGAGGATAATTACTAGGTTTTGATCTCTACCTTTATTCTAAAGCATTTCTACCATATACAGTAATTTTATTTTAACAGCTCTGTGCAAATACATAAATCTTATACATAAAAGCTTACTCATATTTTGGGATATGGATTCTGCCATCCGAGAAATCTCTAATGTGGACTTTAATAAAAGCTTCAAACATTGAAATTGCTCATGTGAGAAAGCCATTTATTAAAGAAATTTTATTTTTCATTTTTGTATTTAGTCCCTGAATACTGGAAAAAAAAAAAAAAAAAGAAAAGATTATACATATTCTGGGATTGCTCTGAACTATTGATTTTATTTGATGTAGTACTGGTGGAGAGGCCAGTCAGGCTTCCACTAATGCTGAGATGCCTGTTGGAAATATGCTTGGTCTCTCCAGCACAAAACTACAGACCAATCTTGCTGACTAATAAAGTAGCTAAGGTATGAGAAAAGATAATAAGAGAAAAAGTTGAGCACCTCCTTGAAAGATATGGATGCAGAGACAACTAACAATGTCACCTGGCTTTTAGAAACTCAACCAATCAGCCACTTGACACTTACTTAGGCCAGGGTGAAATGTACAGTGTGCATTGGAACTGGAACAAAAATAGAATCATGCCATCTCTGGGCTCACCAACTAATAATAAAAGCTGTGCACCCAGTCTATCTACCCTGCCAGCCACATCACCTTAGCCACCCACCATGTCATTTTTTTTTTTTATCTGGTAACAGCTATGACTCGTTTTACATGGTGAGAGCAACTACAAGAAGTAGCAAGAAGTCACTAAGCAGAATACAATTGTTACCTAATTTATTTTTGTTTGCTTAGTGAAATTGCATTAAGTGAATGGGCGCTCAGAGCAGGATTACAGTGCCTAGTAAGGATATTTCTCTACACATACTTTCAATAAATAACACTAAAGAAACACTTAATTTGCCTGATTTGATACATTAACTACAAAACCAACGTACTAAAAGTTTAATTTTTATTCCCCCATTCAAATGATTCAGACTAGACCCACCAAGTAAAATTAATATTGTAACTTTTCTTAGAAACTTGGTTATGTACAGCACTGTACCTTTCAATGCTATTTTTTTTTTGGTAAAACTCAAGAAACAATACAAACTAGTTAGTTTCTCCTCACCAATAGTGAGTCGACATTGATGATGCCTCTTGGGTTCCGTAATTGAGCTTCTAATTCACGGAGCCGCTGTAAACGGTCACTATCCGTGAGTGATTCCATCACTGTCAAGAATAAACATAAATCAGGTCTCTGACAATGAAATAGAAAATTTCAAAATGTAATTAATAATCTCTGGGAACGTGCAAATTTTTAACCCTTAAACTGTCCAAATGTAGATGTACGTTCACGTGCGTAGCGCTCCGACCTTTATTTTCTCCATTTGAAAGCACTGGAAAAAACGTTATCTACGTTCAGAGCACTATGAACCTCAACATAGATCTACGTTTGGACTGTTTAAAGATTAACATACTCATTAGGCTCAATAATAAATATACATAGTAAACACTTGAAATGATACACTAACATAGAGGACTGTCCAACCGTCTGTTAAATCTGAATGCTATAAAAGCAACAAACATAAAAAAAGCACTTAATTACTTCAGTGTGCACCTAATATACTACTGTACACACAATTTACTTATATGGTATTTTAACCCTTAAACGGTCCAAACAAATCGACGTTCAAATTCGTAGTGCTCCAAAAGTAGATCTACGTTTTTTTAACATATTTTCAAAAATAACAAAAAAATAAAATGTAGATAAAAGTTTTTTTGCACATTTTTAAATGTAAAACAAGAAAGAAGATCTACATTTTTTTACATACTTTCAAATGTTGAAAAAACGTATATATACGTTTGGACCATTTAAGGGTTAATAACAGTGAAAATAAAGGAATTAAAAATACAATTTACTAGTGGATTTTGCTCATTATTTTAAGTCTCTCTCATATCGAGAGTTTATTTATACAGTCTTCTCAAGTTATACTGCCTATTTTAATATATGTGACACTGCCTTGCATCACGACTAACAAAATCATAATAAGACAATTGCAGACAATCCTGCGATAAAGAATAGGTGGGGCTCAAACTCATGGCAGTTGAGTCCTAAAACTCACAGGCCAATGTACTGGTTAATGCACTGGCCAGTGACTTTTAGGACTTGCCTGCCATGGGTTTTAGCCCCAAAAAGAGAGGGAACTGTTGAGGGAGGCACAGTCCAGTACAGGAGGGCCCCACTTACACAGCAGGCTTTGTTCTGGCTACCATTGTAAAGCAAAAATCACTGTAAAGTGAAACATACCCATTTTTCACTTTCAAATGCATATAGAAGTCTGATAACATGTTTGCACTATCATATTTAGGTTTAGCTCTATTGAGCTAAACCTAAAAATTGCATAGACAGTACACACTTTACTTATCTTAAAATATTTTTGTCCTTAGCTTAAAGCGAGTAGTGAATATATTTATTGCAGAAGTCTGAAAAACTGAAGAATGAGTATAACTGAACACCACTGTATTAGTGAAATGCTGTGAAGCAAAGTGCTGTAAAGTGGGGCTCTTCTGTACATTAATCCATGGAAACACCTGTCAATCTCTAGCTTGAGATAATGGTTATACAACTTTAAAACTGTGTTCTAAAACTTACCTAAACTAGATCAGTACTATACAATTTGTTTACTGCATTTCATTGCTTCTTTGACATCCTCTTGTTCAGTTATCACTTGTCAATATCATAACATATCTGTACTGATCATGTTTAATGCTTAATATCACCATGTCACTGTTGTATGTCTATAATGTTTATGCATAAAATAAAACTTTTGAAATTTTTATGTAAAGCATTTTGCACCAATATAAGTTAAATAAACAAATATTTGGGGGCACGTCATAAGTGGTGTTCCATAGGGGTCAGTGCTGGGCCCCTTGTTGTTCACAATTTACATAAATGATATAGATAGAGGGAATAAATAGAGACCTAAGCAAATTTGCTGATGACACCAAAATAAGTCGACCAATTCATTCTGCTGAGGACATTAGTGCACTCCAGGCTGATTTGAATAGACTGATGCAGTGGTCGGAGAAGTGGCAGATGCAGTTTAAAATAAACAAATGCAAAGTGCTAAATGTTGGACAGGACAATAACCATGCAACTTATAAACTGAATAGTGTAGATCTTAATACTACTGACTGCAAAAAGGATTTAGGAGTTCTGGTTAGCAGTAATATGAAACTAAGACAACAGTGCATAAGTGTTTGCAATAAAGCTAACAGAATCCTTGGCTTCATATCAAGAAGTATAAATAATAGAAGTCCTCAGGTTGTTCTTCAACTCTATATATCCTTGGTTAGGCCTCATTTAGACTATGCTGCACAGTTCTGGTCACCGTATTACAGAATGGATATAAATGCTCTGGAAAACGTACAGAGGAGGATGACAAAGTTATCCCATGTATCAGAAATCTTCCCTATGAGTAAAGACTGAAGGCCCTGAATCTGCACTCTCTAGAAAGGCGTAGAATTAGGGGGGATATAACTGAGGTGTATAAATGGAAAACAGGAATAAATAAAGGGGATTTAAATAGCGTGCTGAAAATATCCAGCCAAGACAGGACTCGCAGCAATGGCTTCAAGTTGGAAAAGTTCAGATTCAGGAAGGATATAGGAAAGCACTGGTTTGGTAATAGAGTTGTGGATGAGTAGAACAAACTCCCGAGTACCGTCATAGACGCTAAGACGTTGCGTAGTTTTAAAAATAGGTTGGATAAATACATGAGTGGGTGTGGGTGGGTGTGAGATGGACCTGACAAGCTTGGGCTATACCAGGTCTGGTGCCATGCTCCTTCCTTAAGTGGAAGTGACCTGACTAGGTGGTCATTGTTCTAGGCCGAGGGGGTGGCATGGACCTGCTTCGCACGAGTCAGTAGGCCTGTTGCAGTGTTCCTTCTTTCTTATGTTCTTATTTGTATTTATCTATGGGGATACCAGTACCCAACCATTCATTGAACTACCTAAAAATGAAATCTTCATTGTCATACAGCCATCAACTGCAAATTTTAAGACAAAAATTATTCTCATCACTAGATATTTATTCCGGTCATAATTTTTTCCAGTGTAAGCCAAATGCAATATAGTTATCTACCATTCAGATGGATTACTTCACAATTATTACTAGTAGTCCAATCTTTATATCTACCATATTTCTTAATACCAAACACAAGCTATGAATCTGAATTTCTGTATCTTTACTGATTTTTAATTTGTTCATCCTACAATCTAATTTTTTTTTTTTTATAAACTATGTAAACAATCTTTAAATATTACTTAAAGTTTATAAATCAAATACATATCTAAATGAGTTACTGCATAAATTAATATTTTTGGAATTATAGGAATATCCTAGGTTAAGTCATCATACCATACTATTATTACATGTGTTGACTGTACCAGTATGCAATACAAGTGTAAATTATCATATATATATGACTTATAACACACATGCATGAGGCTAACCTAAATCAACAACCACAAGATGCACAAGAAACTTCATCAACTTTTGTAAGAACCCTCATATACAGATGACAGCTCTTCACACCAGTTACATTGTAGCAATGAGCCAGTGTCAAGTAGAAGTGACAGTACTAGTATTAACAAATATATGAGGAACAGTGTGTACAAAGGTGTGAGTAACTGAGATAACTTAATTATTACGTATATTATTATTATTATAATCAAGGGGGAAGCGCTAAACCCGGAGGATTATACAGCGCTGGGGGGGGATGTGGAAGGCATTCAGGCTTAATTCGGGGAACTGGAGCACAGATCCAATTCCCTAAATCAAGAGCCCCTCACCAACATCAAGGAACCTTCCTTGAGGGGATTATTACGTATAATTCTTAAAGATGCTGAACACTCACACTCAGAACTCTGAACCAGTTTTAGTTTCACTCTCTACCAGGACACACACAGCCTGCTCCTGCATCATGCAGCATGATCAATTATAATCATCTTCCAGGATCAGCAAGTTGAAAACAATGATTAGTCATAATATAGTTGAAGGTGTGCCCCCTCCCCTCCCAAGCAGCTCACACCTGTCAAATACCTCGCAACACCTCACACTAACTACAACTGCACTTCTAACTACCTTCCCAGAGCGCCTTGCACCCAACGTGGAAAACCCTCAGTTCAGACACAAATGTCAAAGTTTCCCTGCTCGATAAACGTGAAAATAAAACCCCAGCAAATCCCAGTGACCAACAAAAGTTGGAAAATGTTTGTGTTTGGGGCGAGTCCATCTCTCTTATGAACCCCCTGAAAACCCACTTATCTCCCCTGTTACCACTTACTTGTCACATTTCCTGTCACATCATATACGGCTCTAGGTGTGTACTTGGTTTCTAATCAACAAAGAGGCTTTAGAGGGGTGAAAAAAAATATACAAGAAGCCATCATTCGCCAGAGTTACACATAAATATGGCCGAGGAACCAACTAACTAAACCCACAATGCTCAGCGCTGCCTCGGGCACTACACCACCACCGCCAACTTTAAACTTAATATACAAGTGAGTCAAGTAAGTATTAAGTGTATTCAGGTATATACAAATACAGTTACATAGATTATCATACATAGTATATGTGTAGAGAACCTGGGATAACACAAAAAAGTCAGATAAGGTAACTTATTTCCACTGGGGTCCTAATAATAATAATCTTTATTTCTACAAGTACATGATACAACTTATACAGACCATAGCTGACATCAGTGACATACTATATAGAAAGCCCCTTGTTATGCAGAGCATTTCACAATAAAAATAATAATAATAATATCTTTATTTCTACAAGTACATGATACAATGCATACAGACGTAGCTGACATCAACGATATACTATGTAAAAAGCATTTTGTTCTACAGAGTATTTCGGGCCAATTAGGTTTTGGCCCCAGGCTGCGACTCACACCAGTCGACTAACACCCAGGTACCTACTTACTGCTACGTGAACAGGGACAGCAGGTGCCTTAAGGAAACACGTCCTAATGTTTCCACCCGTACCGAGGATCGAACCATGGACCTCAATGTGTGATCTGAGTGCGCTACCAACCGAGCTACGGGACAAGTTGTGAGTGGCCTGGCTGGCCCATCCTCAGTGCATTCAACCATACAGGAAGGCATTATTACAACATTAGAAGAAGAACGTAAGAAAGAAATAACACTGCAATAATCAGGTTAATAATCTCTCAAAATATTAATTTGCGATAACTTTTATGGTGTTCCACTGAGGTCTTCTAAATTATCATAAAATATCCCTTTTGTAAAATCTCTGTTTAAAAAAAAGGATTATGTATGCACTTCAATGCCTGAGTGCACAGTTTAAATTAAAAAAAAAACTAGCCAAGTAAAACACACACACACACACACACACAGGCCAGGAGCTAAGACTCGACCCCTGCAACCACAAATAGGCGAGTACACACACACACACACACACACACACACACACACACACACACACACACATATATATATATATATATATATATATATATATATATATATATATATATATATATATATATATATATATATATATATATATATATATATATTTTTTTTTTTTTTCAACAAGTCGGCCGTCTCCCACCGAGGCAGGGTGACCCAAAAACGAAAGAAAATCCCCAAAAAGAAAATACTTTCATCATCATTCAACACTTTCACCACACTCGCACATTATCACTGCTTTTGCAGAGGTGCGCAGAATACAACAGTTTAGAAGCATATACGTATAAAGATACACAACATATCCCTCCAAACTGCCAATATCCCAAACCCCTCCTTTAAAGTGCAGGCATTGTACTTCCCATTTCCAGGACTCAAGTCCGACTATATGAACATAACCGGTTTCCCTGAATCCCTTCACTAAATATTACCCTGCTCACACTCCAACAGATCGTCAGGTCCCAAGTATCATTCGCCTCCATTCACTCCTATCTAACACGCTCATGCACGCTTGCTGGAAGTCCAAGCCCCTAGCCCACAAAACCTCCTTTACCCCCTCTTTCCAACCCTTTCGAGGACGACCCCTATCCCTCCTTCCTTCCCCTATAGATTTATATGCTTTCCATGTCATTCTACTTTGATCCATTCTCTCTAAATGACCAAACCACCTCAACAACCATTCTTCTGCCCTCTGACTAATGCTTTTATTAACTCCACACCTTCTCCTAATTTCCACACTCCGAATTTTCTGCATAATATTTACACCACACATTGCCCTTAGACAGGACATCTCCACTGCCTCCAACCGTCTCCTCGCTGCTGCATTTACCACCCAAGCTTCACATCCATATAAGAGTGTTGGTACTACTATACTTTCATACATTCCCTTCTTTGCCTCCATAGATAACGTTTTTTGACTCCACATATACCTCAACGCACCACTCACCTTTTTTCCCTCATCAATTCTATGATTAACCTCATCCTTCATAAATCCATCCGCCGACACGTCAACTCCCAAGTATCTGAAAACATTCACTTCTTCCATACTCCTCCTCCCCAATTTGATATCCAATTTTTCTTTATCTAAATCATTTGATACCCTCATCACCTTACTCTTTTCTATGTTCACTTTCAACTTTCTACCTTTACACACATTCTCAAACTCATCCACTAACCTTTGCAATTTTTCTTTAGAATCTCCCATAAGCACAGTATCATCAGCAAAAAGTAACTGTGTCAATTCCCATTTTGAATTTGATTCCCCATAATTTAATCCCACCCCTCTCCCGAACACCCTAGCATTTACTTCTTTTACAACCCCATCTATAAATATATTAAACAACCATGGTGACATTACACATCCCTGTCTAAGACCTACTTTTACCGGGAAGTAGTCTCCCTCTCTTCTACACATCCTAACCTGAGCCTCACTATCCTCATAAAAGCTCTTTACAGCATTTAGTAACTTACCACCTATTCCATATACTTACAACATCTGCCACATTGCTCCTATATCCACTCTATCATATGCCTTTTCTAAATCCATAAATGCAATAAAAACTTCCCTACCTTTATCTAAATACTGTTCACATATATGCTTCAATGTAAACACTTGATCTACACATCCCCTACCCACTCTGAAGCCTCCTTGCTCATCCGCAATCCTACATTCTGTCTTACCTCTAATTATTTCAATTATAACCCTACCGTATACTTTTCCTGGTATACTCAGTAAACTTATTCCTCTATAATTTTTACAATCTCTTTTGTCCCCTTTCCCTTTATATAAAGGGACTATACATGCTCTCCGCCAATCCCTAGGTACCTTCTCCTCTTTCATACATTTATTAAACAAAAGTACCAACCACTCCAACACACACACACACACACACACACACACACACACATATATATATATATATATATATATTATATATATATATATATATATATATATATATATATATATATATATATATATATATATATATACAGGACCGGGGTGTCGTTTAACTGCATTCTAGTTGTATGGAATGGAGATAAACCTAGCAGAGAATATTAGTTCTTAATGGCATATGATCCACCAGGTCGTATGATCTACCTGATCGTATGGTCTACCTGATCGTATGGTTCGCCTGATCGTATGGTCTACCTGATCGTATGGTTCGCCTGATCGTATGGTCTACCTGATCGTATGGTTCGCCTGATCGTATTGTCTACCTGATCGTATGGTTCGCCTGATCGTATGGTCTACCTGATCGTATGGTTCGCCTGATCGTATGGTCTACCTGATCGTATGGTTCGCCTGATCGTATGGTCTACCTGATCGTATGGTTCGCCTGATCGTATGATCTACCTGATCGTATGGTTCGCCTGATCGTATGGTCTACCTGATCGTATGGTTCGCCTGATCGTATGGTTCGCCTGATCGTATGGTCTACCTGATTGTATGGTTCGCCTGATCGTATGATCTACCTGATCGTATGGTTCGCCTGATCGTATGGTCTACCTGATCGTATGGTTCGCCTGATCGTATGGTCTACCTGATCGTATGGTTCGCCTGATCGTATGGTTCGCCTGATCGTATGGTCTACCTGATCGTATGGTCTACCTGATCGTATGGTCTACCTGATCGTATGGTCTACCTGATCGTATGGTTCGCCTGATCGTATGATCTACCTGATCGTATGGTTCGCCTGATCGTATGATCTACCTGATCGTATGGTTCGCCTGATCGTATGGTCTACCTGATCGTATGGTTCGCCTGATCGTATGGTTCGCCTGATCGTATGGTTCGCCTGATCGTATGGTCTACCTGATCGTATGGTTCGCCTGATCGTATGGTGTATCTGATCGTATGGTTCGCCTGATCGTATGGTCTACCTGATCGTATGATCTACCTGATCGTATGGTCTACCTGATCGTATGATCTACCTGATCGTATGGTCTACCTGATCGTATGGTTCGCCTGATCGTATGGTGTATCTGATCGTATGGTTCACCTAATGTTATGGTCCACCTAGCTCTGGTCTCACCTGAAATGTCATGGTTCCGTACACGTAGCCAGGTACTTCATTATTATTATTGTTATAATCAAGGGGAAGCGCTAAACCCGTAGGATTATACAGCGCCTGTGGGGGGGGGATGGAAGGTATTCAGGGTTAATTCAGGGAAATGGAGCACAGATCCAGTTCCCTAGATCAAGAGCCCCTCACCAGCATCAAGGAACCTTCCTTAAGGGGGGTACTTCACCATTGAGACAATTTGCGACGGTATGCCGGACCTAACTCTACTAATAGAAGTGCCAACAAAGATTTGCTGTTATTATTAGTTTTGTGAAGTTCTAAACTCTCGTGGACAATTCATCTCAATCAGTGATTTAGTCTAGACTAGTATGCTAATCGCTGTCTTACTGGACTCATCTATGATGATAAAAATCCCAGAGAAAATGCCACAAATGCCACCGAGAAGGTGAGACGTCGTGGCATTGTGACTGTAGTGGGGAACCATGGCATCTCCAGCTGGGTAGTGTCAGGCCCAGGCAGGCGGGCACACCCTGCATACCAAGACACTCTGCTTCAGCAGTCCCTCAAGGGAGGTTCCTTGACGCTGGTGAGGGGCTCTTGATCCAGGGAATTGACTCTGTGCTCCAGTTGCCTGAATACCTTTCATTGCCCCCCCCCACAGGTACTGTATAATCCCAACGGGTTTATTATTCCCCGTGATTATAATAATAATCTGCTTTGGCAGTAGTCAAACCTCCCTCCTCCCTCCCTTCTCCTTCACATTTATAAAGGATATAAAGTACCAGCGGGGCCGGATCAGCATCTGCTAGGGACGGTACCAGCGAACCTACTACTAAGTACCAGCAGCCTGGCTGGTCAGAAGCCGAGCCGAGTTTAACGAACGGGGATCGAGCCTGCATATTAATACTACGATTACTAACTACTACTACTATTACTGCTATTTCTACTATTACTACTATTGTT